TCTTATATTACGTTTGCTTTTCATTTTTAATATTTATTCATACAAATAATGCAAGATTTACTGTTATGCAGACTACTACATTATTGTGATAATTGTATAAATAATGTCAGTGCATTCCTAAATGCATAGACTGGAGAGTTGGATGCACATTGGACAAGTGTTTACTCTGGAATATCAACAAAAATCGAACATATCTGCTACTTTGAGTTCAATTTCAAGCAACTTTCTGTCCTGAAACTAATCAAAAACCATTCTATTTGGTGCACACTTACTGCATTGACCCATTCTCTCATATCTAGGCCCAAATTTACCGCTCACAGCTTATCTGAGCGAGCTGAGCTCATGGCCTCGTACTACTGGACCAACACTGGCTTCAGTGCTGTGATACAATGGAATCGTCAATGATAGGGGTTAAAAATGGGAAAGGAGAGTTACTAGATAAAGAGTCAGAGGTATCAGGAAGATAGAGGGAATATTTTGCACAACTGTTAAATGTGAAGATAGGGATCTGGGATTTTGTGTATTGGGCAGGGAGGTATAACATCTTGTAGGAATGAGGAAGAGTTAGTTGTGAGTATGGGGGGAGACAATGGGTAGAAGGGGGTAAAGCAGCTAGGATTGATGGGATAAAGACAAATGTTACAAGCAGGTGGGGATATAGTTTTGGATTGGAGGAAGAGGGAAGGGTAGGGTACCTAGGGATTGGCAGAGTATGCATAGTTCCTTTGTATAAAGGCAAAGGGGTCAAAAGGGAGTGTAAAAATTATAGGGGATAAGCCTGTTGAGTATACCTGGTAAAGGGTATGGTAAGAGTTATTATTGAAAGATTAATATAATCAAGGGAGAAGCGCTAAACCCGTAGGATTATACAGTGCCTGTGTGGGGGGATGTGGAAGATATTCAGGTTTAATTCAGGGAACTGTAGCACAGATCCAATTCCCTAGATCAAGAGCCCCTCACCAGCATCAAGGAACCTTCCTTGAGGGGTATAATTGAAAGGATTAAGAGTAAGACGGACAACAGGATTGCAGACGAAACATATGGGTGAACAGTATTTAGATAAGGGTGTGAAGCTTGGGTGGTAAATGCAGCAGCGAGGAGACGGTTGGAGGCAGCGGAGATGTCCTGTTTAAGGGCAATGTGTGGTGTAAATATTATGCAGAAAATTCGGAGTGTGGAAATTAGGAGAAGGTGTGGAGTTAATAAAAGTATTAGTCAGAGGGCAGAAGAGGGGTTGTTGAGGTGGTTTGGTCATTTAGAGAGAATGGATCACAGTAGAATGACATGGAAAGCATATAAATCTATAGGGGAAGGAAGGCGGGGTAGGGGTCGTCCTCGAAAGGGTTGGAGAGAGGGGGTAAAGGAGGTTTTGTGGGTAAGGGGCTTGGACTTCCAGCAAGCGTGCGTGAGCGTGTTAGATAGGAGTGAATGGAGACGAATGGTACTTGGGACCTGACGATCTGTTGGAGTGTGAGCAGGGTAATATTTAGTGAAGGGATTCAGGGAAACCGGTTATTTTCATATAGTCGGACTTGAGTCCTGAAATGGGAAGTACAATGCCTGCACTTTAAAGGAGGGTTTGGGATATTGGCAGTTTGGAGGGATATGTTGTGTATCTTTATATGTTTATGCTTCTAGACTGTTGTATTCTGAGCACCTCTGCAAAAACAGTGATAATGTGCGAGTGTGGTGAAAGTGTTGAATGATGATGAAAGTATTTTCTTTTTGGGGATTTTCTTTCTTTTTTGGGTCACCCTGCCTCGGTGGGAGACGGCCGACTTGTTGAAAAAAAAAAAAAAAAAAAAAAAAAAAAGGAGGTTTTTGTTGCATTTATGAATTGGGAAAAGGCATATGATAGGGTAGATAGGGGAGCAATGTGGCAGATGTAGCAAATGTATAGAATAGGAGGTAGGTTACTGAAAGCAGCGAAGAGCTTTTACAAGGATAATGAGGCTCGAGTGAGAGTATGTAGGAAAGAGATTATTTCCCAGTAAAAGTAGGCCTTAGACAGGGATATGTGATGTCACCATGGTTGTTCAACATATTTGTAGATGAGGTTGTAAGAGAAGTGAATGCTCAGGTGTTGGCAAGAAGTGTGGGATTAAAAGATAAAAAGAATAACACAGATTGGGAGTTTTCACAGTTGCTTTTTGCTGATGACACTGTGCTTTTAGGAGATTCTGAAGAGAAGTTGCAGAGGTTGGTGGATGAGTCTGGTAAGGAAGAAAATTAACCCTTTCAGAGTCGAGAGGCCCTCTCCGAAACTTGTTCTCAGGGTCGAAAATTTTTCGGAAAAAAAAATTATTTTTTCTTATGAAAAGATAGAGAATCTTTTCCCGATCATAATGACACCAAAATTATGAAATTTGATGGAAAACTTACAGAATTATGCTCTCGCAAAGTTAGCGGTCTCAACGATGTTTATGCATCAGCGATTTTGCCCACTTTGAGCCCTATTTTTGGCCAATTCCAGTGTACTAGTCGACAAAAATCATAACTTTCGCTAGAACTCCATTTTTTTTATCGAATGAGTACAAGAAACCACCCATTTTCCGATTTCAACTATCCAATAAAGTGGTCAGAAATTAGCAAATTTGCCAATTTCACACAAATTTCAAAAGATGCCAATTTCTAAATAGGGTCCAGAATAAACAAGAAAGACATTCTTGGCGCTAAAATAACATTTCCTCTGTTCATTAGTCACGTCCCCAGGCTCCTCTTACATTTCTTTTGCTTTCCACTTTGAATTTTTGTTCTCACAAAAAATAGAAGATTTACTGTTACACAGACTACTGTATTAGTGTAGAAGTGGTATAAATAATATCTGCGCACTTGTGAAAGAATATTAGACTCACCAGTTGGAGTGTATTGGACGCGTGGCATGATTTGTTTACTTTTGAACTTTGGCAAAAATTGAACATTTCTGCTGCTTTGAGCTCAATTTCAAGGTACTTTTCATTGTGAAACCAGTCAAAATCATCTCAATTTCTGTAATATGTCTTCCATTCTATAAAATAAGACCAGGAAAACTAGAATACAACCATAAATACCATGCGAAAATACAGTGCAAAGTCGCTGTTTTAAACCAAAAACACTGGCAAAGTTTTTTTCTCATTATGCACTGTGTGCTGCAGGATTTTTTTTATACTGCACACACTGACCACATAGACTCATTCTTTCATAAGTAAGCCTACCAGCTTTCTCTTGCTAGATTTGAGGGCGCTAGAATATAGGCATATTAGTACGTCAATAACCCTGGTGCGTAAACCGTACTAGTACGTCAGAAACCCTGAAAGGTTTAAAAGTGAGCATAGGAAAAAGTAAGGTAATTAGGATAAAAAATTTAGGTAATGAAAGATTGGATATCAGATTGGAAGGAGGGAGTTTGGAGGAAGTGAAAATATTCAGATATTTGGGAGTGGACTTGAGAGCAGACTGTCTATGAAAGACTAGGTGAATCATAGAACTGATGAGGGGAAAAAGGCAAGTGGTGAACTGAGGAGTCTGGAGATGAAGAACGTTATCCATGGATGCAAAGAGGGGGAATGTATAAGAGTATAGCTATACCAATGCTTGTATATGGGTATGAAATATGGGTGGTGAATATTGCAACAAGGAGAAAGCTGGAGGCAGTGGAGATGTGTCTGAGGGTGCTGTGCAGTGTGAATATAATGCAGAGAATCCACAGTTTGGAAATTAGGAGGTGCAGGGTTACTAAAAGTATTATCCAGAAGGCTGGGGAGGAGTTGTTGAGGTGGTTCAGCCATATAGAGAGAATGGAACAAAATAGAATGACTCGAGAGCATATAAATCTGTAGTGGAAGGAAGATGGGGTAGGGGTTGGCCTAGCAAAGGCTGGAGGGAGGGGGGGTAAAGGAGGTTGTGTGTGTGTGAAGGGCTTGGACTTCCAGCAAGCTTGCATGAACATGGTAGATAGTAGCAAGTGGAGACAAATGGTTTTTATGATGTGACATGCTGTTGGAGTGTGAGGAAAGTAACATTTATGAAGGGATTCAAGGAAACCGGCAAGCCAGACTCGAGGCCTGGTGGTGAGAAGTACAGTGCCGGCGTTCTCAAGGAGGGGTGTTGATGTTGTAGTTTTTTAACTGTAGTGTAGGCATGCCTCTGGCAAGACAGTGATAGAGTGAATGTTGATGAAAGTGTTTCTTCTTTTTGGGTCACCCTGCCTTGGTGGGAAATGGCCGAATGGAAAGGCTAATCCAAATGGGAGAATTCTAAATTGGAGAATTCCAATTAAGAGACAGATTTCTGTACATATATCTTTAATATATCCTGACACAAAGAAATATAATATTTAATCCAGCATTGTACAATAGTTAAAACTGCAAATAGTGTTGAATTCTGCAACATGCTTGAGCCTTTAAAAACATAAAAATGCCAAGTTTCAATAACAAAAGTTTATGTAAAGATAAACATTAATAATAAAACATCAGGATTTTCCTGTATACAGGACAGTACATGTTTGTGATTTATATATGGTATATTTGTAATCTGTTTGGAAGGTCTGATTATTTTCAGAATTTAATAATCATAAATTAGATACTAGTAGTTAGGTAATTTCCTATCCTTGGGTTTTATTTTATAATGAACATAAATTCCTAATTAACAATTCAACTCACAGGAATGGCTGCTGTTTAATTTTTCTTTTACAGTACTGAATTTCATTTTATATAGCTTTAGTTATACATAAATTCCTTTATAGAGATGACTCCTTAGCTAATGGCTGTCAAATACAAAGCTCCTTCGCTGCCACATTGGTTATCACTTATTATAAGAGACAATTATACCCAGGAGTATTCAAGTATTTGTCTGCCAATATATTCACCTGAAGGAGCTTTGAATATTGTGTGATTAGATATCTGCTTTGTGTTAGTCTGAAATGCATGTTAGTGTGAAGAATCCAACAAACACTGCCAACACTAGTGCTTGCTTTTTGGTTATGCTTGGTGTATTAACCCCCGGAATGTTCGCTCCGGCAGCCACGTCATGGGTCTGGCAACTACTACAGCTGCGTTTCTGGCGACTATAACTGTGGCCATACGCCGAACGAAGGCCACCAGGTTGGTTAAGGAGACTTGCTGTTGCTGGCGGCATTGGAGTCGTACACAAACATGTATCATTTATTTTGTAAATTGTTCTGTAAATTATTCTGTAAATTATTTTGTACCCCTAGCCTGCGCCTGGATTGCATTTTCACACAGTTCGTGGCAAGGGCACCAGGGTTACATTTTACTTTCTGTATAAGCTTTTAGAATTTTCTGTGTTACAGGCTTCTGCCCACTGTCAACAGGAATGCCGACCTTAGCATACGGCACAGTTGATGTAACATTTTTCTGTGCTTTTTGCTTTAACTTCTTTGTATTTATAGAAGCTATAGCAAGGACATGATGACTGTATTTGCTTAATTAACAGAGGTCTGAAAGCATAACTTCATTACTTCTGTTTTTTTATTTGCTTCTACTTTCACTCTACTGTGTAGCATCATGTACTTTTATTACTTTAACTAGCTGTTATTTTCTCATTATGTGTTTCTATTGTTCATTAATTTTATGAAAACAATACCATATATTCATACCTTTAAATATATTAATGATTTCTAAATACTGTATATGTTTAGTAATTTAAAATTTAAGTTATTTAGTTTTCAAATATAATGACACAAGTCCCATTATGAAGAGGTGAATGATAATGACATATGGTGAACTTGTAATTATGTATTAAATTTTAATTCTTCATGCAAAGTTTGTGAGCAGCAATTATAAAGTAAGGGTACTTTTTGCTACACTCTTCAACTTGCAGTTTATAGGGGTCCAGTACAGGACTCTTGCAGTATCTCATTTATTCCTGTGTTCACTCTTAGTTTTTCTATACCTTTTTTTTTTTAACTTCAGAATGCTTCTATTTCTCTGATAATGTAATTATTTAGATGCCGCCTCTTTTTTTTTTTTTTATTTTTTTTTTTTTTAAATCTGATGAGTTCCAATCAGATAGTTTACTTTTTACTAATTATTTATTATCAGAATAATGGCTCAAGTATTCTGGAAGTTTTCTCTTATTTATCGAGTATAAACTAGCATAAAATAGCCACTACAATCATCTTTCGAATTATCAAATTGACTATTTCTAGATAGTATGATGCATTCGTGCATCATACTATCTAGACATACAAATAAATACAAGTAATGTCATACGTACAAAACACACACACAAAAAGAAAACAAAAAAGTGCACACATGCTTGACATTAAATAACTCACATAAAATAACCTTGACTAAATAACCAATTTGAACCTAACTTGTAAAATAGACATTTTGGCCCTCAAGAAAGTCCTTAATTAAAATAGTAGCATTTGAACAAGTCATAGAACCCCAAGGAAAACTTCACTGTATACGGGAGAGTATTTTTTATTTACTGTAACTGATAACTTGATTTTAATAAGTCTCTTCCAAAGTTAAAATACAAAACTTGATAAAAAATCTACTGGATAGCATATAGTTTATGAACACTGGCATATAAACGGGAAATGCGGTATTTAAACACATTATTAGCATTGCATTTCTTGGCTCTGTAGAGAGTACTATATCATCTTTGTCTAGTTTTGCATAGTGGATTGAAGAATGCAGTTTCTCTCTCTATGCATTTTCACATGTTGCCCATTGATGAGTAACACCAATGGGCTATATCCACTTTGATAAGTGGATACAGCTGAAACAAACTTCAATGCTGGTTTAGCAAACCATCTAGCTGGTCATGTACCAATTTACTGAGATCTGCTTGAGGATTGGGTAATTATTTTTTTTGTAATCACCTGTTTGTAGGCAGTGCTTGTAACCCTCTCTGTCACTCCATGTGTCTCATTTCCCATTCCTTTGTTTTAGCATTGTGGAGAACAAGTTTCTATTCTTTGGGCATACTACTTCCTCAGTTTGCTTTACAACTGTGTTATAAAGCAAACTGATTGTATTAAAACACCTTTCTTGACTACTGTTTTGTATCCCTTTATAATCATACATCAAAGTGCATTGCCACTGTCTCAGACCTTTGCTTCCTTGTATCCCTCTCATCAGTTGTATTCAATACTGGCTCTGCTAAATCTTCATCAAACTCATAAAAGGTAATATTGTGTTGGGTCCCTAGCCATATTGAGTTGAGGACAAGGATCTTGCAGATTCTTCTACATCTTAAATAGTTCATGACTTTCACACTCTCACCAGTGACTACTATTCTCTAAATTCATTATTTATATCAACTCATGTCCTGCAAGATTGCTGCAGCATCCTAGGTCTGAATTGATGGTCTAATTGTTTTTCATCATGCCAAGATTGGACTTCTGATCCAAAATGACTCTCTTGAGATCTCTAACGGCCACTCTTTAAATTTGCCAAGCGAGCATTGGCTGCAGAGGATGTGATGGTGAGGGAGGAAATGGGGGTGGGGTGTGTGTGTGTGTGTTACTGATACACATGCACAGTGTGGGCACAATGCCATGCATTTCTTTCTGGTTATTAATTTTTGTATGCTTGCATGTATTTATATACAAGTATTTGGCATTATTTTTCACGTACAAAAAAATTTATTTTTGAAATATATAGTACCAGAAGTTAATAAATACCTCAGTGTTATTCAGCAAGATGGTAGTGGCTATTAAGCAACTTTTCCTAAAATTAAATTACTTTTAAGGGAATTAGTTTATAACAAAATTCATATCTGCTAGGAATTCAGTATATGATTTACACTTATCTGTATATTATGTAAAATATCCCATTAATATACTAATAAATCCATCCATTCTGTTTGAAATGTACTTAATACTTACAAAACATCTCCTGATGCTGCCCCCTATATCCTGCTCAGAATATCAGGATGCCCCCGTTCTCATGCATCAGTAACTCGCCTGCTCCCTCCTAATTTTGCGTCTCTTGCTTGCAGCCTCGGCACGGGTCTGGCAACTACTACTCGTGTGTGGCTGGAGAGTATGGCTCTGGTGGTGTAAGTGTCATCTGCAGTTTCGTATACTCCGTCCCATGGAAATATCAGCTCTACTAATGTTTAAGTATTCTCAATTGGATTCCTTTAAATATTTCCATATTAGGCATCAACGTCATCAAAAATTAAGAGTTACATCTGCTACGTTATTAAAGCATAACTAAATGAACAGTGTGAAAAAGCAGTGGTTCTGCAGTAATAATAATAATAAAAAAAAAAGGACGGAGTATAATGGGTCAGTCATGCTGCAATGTTTGAAAATCAAACTATGCTTTAACATTTATTGTGACTGCACATGAAATGTTATTTAATCAACAGGGAAGCGTGGAGCTGCTTCGTTTGAAAACTTGTGTTGCAGTGAACCTGACTTGAGTAACAGACGGTGATCTTTGTATTATAGACTTTGTCAATGTTAATTTTCACTGACACTGCTAATTGCTTGATGAACCCAATTACTAAATTGTAGCTCAATATTAATTACTGTGCATGAAAAGTCTTTTACAAGACTGATTTTATGTACATGATTTCACTAATATTCATGGTAGGAAGCAAGTTGCATAATACCATTGTGATTCCCATAATTTGTGCTTATGAAGCAATGTAAAGCCAGGAGTAGTTATTTAAAAAAAGCACTGATTCAAAGTATTAATAGCAGCTTTCCATATTTCAGAGGTTTACTCGCATAATTCTCTATGTTTTTTATTTGCAGGTTCTCCTGTTATGTATTTGTAATAGTAAAAGGCAGCATTTAAAGTTCATTAACTACATGTAGATTTTCAAGGTTATTTTGATTCCATTTTCAGCCCCCAAGCAGCACCTACTACTCCACTGTTCCTGGTGACATGACTACCTCTCGCATCAGCAACTCTACATTCTCCCCAACTTATGATGACCCAGCTCGTTCTGATGAAGAAAGTGACCAATATGGTGGATCAACATATTCTGGTGGTGGACCTTATGCTCGTGCTATAGACTCTGTGTCCCAGAGTGGAACTGCTAAACGTTTGAGTGAGTACATTCATCAACTAGTATACACATTTTAATACTAATATTTTGTAATACAGCATATGGAATTCATTGTACTTTCTAATCTGTAGGTGCAGTATTCCAGATACCTATATACCCAAACATCATTCAGTGAATGCATAGACACTGTGTGAAAAAAAATTAAGTTGAAAACATTTAGCAGTGTATATCATAATTGAAATAGGTTAATCTCATGATGTATGTGTCTACTTATTTCTGATTACCTATTTATGGCAACTGTAGTGGAGTTATCCTCAGGTTTTGTAGCTTTAGAATTAGAGCTGTGATAGAGTTGTTTGTAGCTACAGGAAAGAAAAGCCATTTCATTTTTTGTTGCTACAGGAAGAGTCATTTCATTTGTTTGTTACTGCAGGAAGAGAATTGTTTCATTTGTTACTATAGGAAGAGACCTGTTTCATTTTTTTTGTGGCTACAGGAAGAGTGTAGTTTCATTTGTTACCACAGGAAGAGAGTAGTTTCATTTTTTGCTACAGGAGGAGAGCTATTTCATTTGTTCGTTACTATAGGAAGAGAGCAATTTCATTTTTTGCTACAGGAAGAGAGATGTTTCATTGGTTGCTACAGGAGAGAGCTGTGCTTAAAATGTTTGTTGCTACAGGAAGAGTCGTGCTTCAGTTGTTTGTCGCTACAGGAAGAGAGCTACACTCAAGTTGTTAGTGACTACATTAATAGTTATGCTCACGTTGCTTATAGCTTCAGAAATAAAGCTATGAATTTTACTCCTTTCTTAATGTGGGCTCTATCATACCTGCTTTTAAAACATGGTTAAACTATGTCTGCTGGATGCTCTTAGCCAGTTCCACCTTAAAATTTTCACACCCTCCCTCTAACCCTTCCTAGGACAACCCCTATTACTCCTACTTTCCACCCCAAATTTATATCCTCTTGGTAATCCTATTCTACACCATCCTCTCTGAAGGTTTAAATAATGACGACAACCCCTCCTCTGCCCTCTGAATTATACCTTTTGTAATTTCTTTTCTCTAAATTCTTTGCATAATATTGACACCACAAGTTGCTTCAGAAATGACCTCTCCACTCCCTCCAGTCTCCTCACAGCAATGTTTAAAACCCATGCCTTGCACCCATTTCAAAGGGTTGGCACCATTATATTTTGGTATATTTCTCTCTCTACCTTCATACTTTTTTTTTTCACAGATAATTCAGATCTCTTTCTACATTTTCCCCTGTTCTATGGTTTATCTCATCTTTCATAGGCCCCATCTGCTGAAATCTCCACTCCCAAATATCTAAATATATTCACTTCATTCATACTCCCTCCCTTCAGTTTAGTATCCAAGTTTATTTGAACAAACTTTTTGTTGCTCAAATCACCTTGATCTTTTCCATGTTTACTTATAATTTCCATATTTTCAAGTTCTTACTCAAGATGTTTTCCAATTTGTTGAGTTGTTACTAAATAGTTTTTCTTTTAGAGAACTTACTCTGTCTTTATCCAATCAAGTGCTCTTACTAGCAAGACTAGTGTGTAATTTACAGGATTATCCCTATCATCCATTTAGAATGTTGTAATTTAAAAAATTATTTTATTATTTTATTAACACACTGGCCAATTCCCACCAAGGCAGGGTGGCCCGAAAAAGAAAAACTTTCACCATCATTCACTCCATCACTGTCTTGCCAGAAGGGTGCTTTACACTACAGTTTTTAAACTGCAACATTAACACCCCTCCTTCAGAATGCAGGCACTGTACTTCCCATCTCCAGGACTCGAGTCCGGCCTGCCGGTTTCCCTGAACCCCTTCATAAATGTTACTTTGCTCACACTCCAACAGCACGTCAAGTATTAAAAACCATTTGTCTCCATTCACTCCTATCAAACACGCTCACGCATGCCTGCTGGAAGTCCAAGCCCCTCGCACACAAAACCTCCTTTACCCCCTCCCTCCAACCTTTCCTAGGCCGACCCCTATCCCGCCTTCCTTCCACTACAGACTGATACACTCTTGAAGTCATTCTGTTTGGCTCCATTCTCTCTACATGTCCGAACCACCTCAACAACCCTTCCTCAGCCCTCTGGACAACAGTTTTGGTAATCCCGCACCTCCTCCTAACTTTCAAACTACTGAATTCTCTGCATTATATTCACACCACACATTGCTCTCAGACATGACATCTCCACTGCCTCCAGCCTTCTCCTCGCTGCAACATTCATCACCCATGCTTCACACCCATATAAGAGCGTTGGTAAAACTATACTCTCATACATTCCCCTCTTTACCTCCAAGGACAAAGTTCTTTGTCTCCACAGAATCCTAAGTGCACCACTCCCCTTTTTCCCTCATCAATTCTATGATTCACCTCATCTTTCATAGACCCATCCACTGACACGTCCACTCCCAAATATCTGAATACATTCACCTCCTCCATACTCTCTCCCTCCAATCTGATATCCAATCTTTCATCACCTAATCTTTTTGTTATCCTCATAACCTTACTCTTTCCTGTATTCACCTCAATTTTCTTCTTTTGCAACCCTACCAAATTCATCCACCAACCTCTGCAACTTCTCTTCAGAATCTCCCAAGAGCACAGTGTCATCAGCAAAGAGCAACTGTGACAACTCCCACTTAATGTGTGATTCTTTATCTTTTAACTCTACGCCTCTTGCCAAGACCCTCGCATTTACTTCTCTTACAACCCCATCTATAAATATATTAAACAACCACGGTGACATCACACATCCTTGTCTAAGGCCTACTTTTACTGGGAAATAATATCCCTCTTTCCTACATACTCTAACTTGAGCCTCACTATCCTCGTAAAAACTCTTCACTGCTTTCAGTAACCTACCTCCTGCACCATACACTGCAACATCTGCCACATTGCCCCCCTATCCACCCTGTCATATGCCTTTTCCAAATCCATAAATGCCACAAAAAACTCTTTAGCCTTATCTAAATACTGTTCGCTTATATGTTTCACTGTAAACACCTGGTCCACACACCCCCTACCTTTCCTAAAGCCTCCTTGTTCATCTGCTATCCTATTCTCTGTCTTACTCTTAATTCTTTCAATAATAACTCTACCATACACTTTACCAGGTATACTCAACAGACTTATCCCCCTATAATTTTTGCACTCTCTTTTGTCCCCTTTGCTTTTATACAAAGGAACTATGCATGCTTTCTGCCAATCCCTAGGTACCTTACCCTCTTCCATACATTTATTAAATAATTGCACCAACCACTTCAAAACTATATCCCCACCTGCTTTTAACATTTCTATCTTTATCCCATCAATCCCAGCTGCCTTACCGTAACCCCTTTCATTTTACCTACTGCCTCACGAACTTCCCCCACACTCACAACTGGCTCTTCCTCGCTCCTAAAAGATGTTATTCCTCCTTGCCCTATACACGAAATCACAGCTTCCCTATCTTCATCAACATTTAACAATTCCTCAAAATATTCCCTCCATCTTCCCAATACCTCTAACTCTCCATTTAATAACTCTCCTCTCCTATTTTTAACTGACAAATCCATTTGTTCTCTAGGCTTCCTTAACTTGTTAATCTCACTCCAAAACTTTTTCTTATTTTCAACAAAATTTGTTGATAACATCTCACCCACTCTCTCATTACATTGCTTCACCACTCTCTTAACCTCTCTCTTTTTCTCCATATACTCTTCCCTCCTTGCATCACTTCTACTTTGTAAAAACTTCTCATATGCTAACTTTTTCTCCCTTACTACTTTCTTTACATCATCATTCCACCAGTCGCTCCTCTTCCCTCCCGCACCCACTTTCCTGTAACCACAAACTTCTGCTGAACACTAACACTACATTTTTAAACCTACCCCATACCTCTTCGACCCCATTGCCTATGCTCTCATTAGCCCATTTATCCTCCAATAGCTGTTTATATATTACCCTAACTGCCTCGTCTTTTAGTTTATAAACCTTCACCTCTCTCTTCCCTGATGCTTCTATTCTCCTTGTATCCTATCTACCTTTTACTCTCAGTGTAGCTACAACTAAAAAGTGATCTGATATATCTGTGGCCCCTGTATAAACATGTACATCCTGAAGTCTACTCAACAGTCTTTTATCTACCAATACATAATCCAACAAACTACTGTCATTTCGCCCTACATCATATCTTGTATACTTATTTATCCTCTTTTTCTTAAAATATGTATTACCTATAACTAATCCCCTTTCTATACAAAGTTCAATCAAAGGGCTCCCATTATCATTTACACCTGGCACCCCAAACTTACCTACCACACCCTCTCTAAAAGTTTCTCCTACTTCAGCATTTCAGGTCCCCTACCACAATTACTCTCTCACTTGGTTCAAAGGTTCCTATACATTCACTTAACATCTCCCAAAATCTCTCTCCTCTACATTCCTCTCTTCTCCAGGTGCATACACGCTTATTATGACCCACTTTTCGCATCTAACCTTTACTCTAATCCACATAATTCTTGAATTTACACATTCATATTCTCTTTTCTCCTTCTATAACTGATCCTTCAACATTACTGCTACCCCTTCCTTAGCTCTAACTCTCTCAGATACTCCAGATTTAATCCCATTTATTTCCCCCCACCGAAACTCCCCTACCCCCTTCAGCTTTGTTTCGCTTAGGGCCAGGACATCCAACTTCTTTTCATTCATAACATCAGCAATCATCCGTTTCTTGTCATCCGCACTACATCCACGCACATTCAAGCATCCCAGTTTTTCTTCTTCTCTTTTTTAGTAAATGTCTACAGGAGAAGGGGTTACCAGCCCATCGCTCCCGCATTCTTGTATATCTTGCTACTCCTACTTACACTTTGGTCACACTTCACAGACACACACATGCATATATATATACATAGTTCCTTTGTATAAAGGCAAAGGGGATAAAAGAGAGTGCAAAAATTATAGGGGGATAAGTCTGTTGAGTATGCCTGGCAAAGTGTATGGTAGAGTTATTATTGAAAGAATTAAGAGTAAGATGGAGAATAGGATAACAGATGAACAAGGAGGCTTTAGGAAAGGTAGGGGGTGTGTGGACCAGGTGTTTACAGTGAAACATATAAGTGAACAGTATTTAGATAAGGCTAAAGAGGTCTTTGTGGCATTTATGGATTTGGAAAAGGCGTATGACAGAGTGGATAGGGGGGCAATGTGGCAGATGTTGCAGGTGTATGGTGTAGGAGGTAGGTTACTGAAAGCAGTGAAGAGTTTTTACGAGGATATTGAGGCTCAAGTTAGAGTATGTAGGAAAGAGGGAAATTATTTTCCAGTAAAAGTAGGCCTTAGACAAGGATGTGTGATGTCACCGTGGTTGTTTAATATATTTATAGAAGGGGTTGTAAGAGAAGTAAATGCGAGGGTCTTGGCAAGAGGCGTGGAGTTAAAAGATAAAGAATCACACATAAAGTGGGAGTTGTCACAGTTGCTCTTTGCTGATGACACTGTGCTCTTGGGAGATTCTGAAGAGAAGTTGCAGAGATTGGTGGATGAATTTGGTAGGGTGTGCAAAAGAAGAAAATTGAGGTGAATACAGGAAAGAGTAAGGTTATGAGGATAACAAAAAGATTAGGTGATGAAAGATTGGATATCAGATTGGAGGGAGAGAGTATGGAGGAGGTGAATGTATTCAGATATTTGGGAGTGGACGTGTCAGTGGATGGGTCTATGAAAGATGAGGTGAATCATAGAATTGATGAGGGGAAAAGGGTGAGTGGTGCACTTAGGAGTCTGTGGAGACAAAGAACTTTGTCCTTGGAGGTAAAGAGGGGAATGTATGAGAGTATAGTTTTACCAACGCTCTTATATGGGTGTGAAGCATGGGTGATGAAAGTTGCAGCGAGGAGAAGGCTGGAGGCAGTGGAGATGTCATGTCTGAGAGCAATGTGTGGTGTGAATATAATGCAGAGAATTCGTAGTTTGGAAGTTAGGAGGAGGTGCGGGATTACCAAAATTGTTGTCCAGAGGGCTGAGGAAGGGTTGTTGAGGTGGTTCGGACATGTGGAGAGAATGGAGCGAAACAGAATAACTTCAAGAGTGTATCAGTCTGTAGTGGAAGGAAGGTGGGGTAGGGGTCGGCCTAGGAAAGGTTGGAGGGAGGGGGTAAAGGAGGTTTTGTGTGTGAGGGGCTTGGACTTCCAGCAGGCATGCGTGAGCGTGTTTGATAGGAGTGAGTGGAGACAAATGGTTTTTAATACTTGACGTGCTGTTGGAGTGTGAGCAAAGTAACATTTATGAAGGGGTTCAGGGAAACCGGCAGGCCGGACTTGAGTCCTGGAGATGGGAAGTACAGTGCCTGCACTCTGAAGGAGGGGTGTTAATGTTGCAGTTTAAAAACTGTAGTGTAAAGCACCCTTCTGGCAAGACAGTGATGGAGTGAATGATGGTGAAAGTTTTTCTTTTTCGGGCCACCCTGCCTTGGTGGTAATCGGCCGGTGTGATAAAAAAAAAAAAAAAATCTAGGTTTTTCTCTTTTTTCTAAATAGCTCATGTTCTTTTTTATTTCTTCTATTGTCCATGGGGAAGTGGAAAAGAATCTTTCCTCTGTAAGCCATGCGTGTTGTAATTTAAAAAAATTTTGTGAATACATATTCAAAGAATTCAGGAAAGAGATTCTAATAGGTGTTAGTGTATATTAATGTAAATTTTAAAGTTAAGAGAGTAATAGTTTTCATACATGATACAAAAGTGGGATACTGTCATGGAAGTCATAGTGAGGATACTGGTCACTGGCACAAACTTACATGGAGACAAAAAAACGTAACAAGTACGTATTATATATTTTAGCCTCATATTGACGCCCTCTTTAGTATATAAAAGGTATGTAAGAGGCAAAGCTTGTATATAGAGACAGTTCACATGACCCAAGTTAGGTCATAGATGAGAGCTCTAGTTTTTGATTCCACTAACTTTCTTACCTGAAAAAACTTTTTTGCATCTACTCTTCTTGGAGCTTTGTGGAATAAACTTTCAGCTGATGTGAAATAACGTTTTTGTATCTAATTTTGAAGCTTTGTGGAGTCTGCCTATCATGTACCATTTTCAAATTAACTTAATACTTTTCTTATTATTATTTGTGTGTTTTACATACTGATAGCATTTACTTTTTTTTTAACCAAAGTTTAGACAATGAATTAGAAAAAATGTTAAAAAAATATATTATTGTTGTATACATTATATAAAATGTCATAATGATGGTTGGATACACCCAGATGGTGGTCCCCTTCATGGAGCTGCAACCTCAGGTCTCTTATGGCCTCAGAGTAATACACATAAATTCTTAAGTAAGTTATATAAATTCATATATGCTTATTAACACACATTAAAAATAGTTACCTAAATTGTGCTGTGTACAGTTGTATCATTAAAAACTAATTTGCAAATTGATGCAAAATAAGATAAAGAAAAGGTGTATGCATCTATTAAAATGGGATATTTCCAAAGAGATTTTTGGTATGTATTTAGAATTATTGAGGTAGTAGGTTGGTAGACAGCAACCACCCAGGGAAGTACTACCGTCCTGCCAGATGACTGTGAAACAAAAACCTGTAACTGTTTTGCATGATGGTAGGATTGCTGGTTTCTTTTTCTGCCTCATAAACACGCTAAGATAACAGGGATATCTTGCTACTCCTACTTACACTTTGGTCACACTTCACAGACACGCACATGCATATATATATATACATACATCTAGGTTTTTCTCCTTTTTCTAAATAGCTCTTGTTCTTTTTTATTTCTTCTATTGTCCAAGGGGAAGTGGAAAAGAATCTTTCCTCCGTAAGCCATGCGTGTCGTATGAGGCGACTAAAATGCCGGGAGCAATGGGCTAGTAACCCCTTCTCCTGTATACAATTACTAAAAAAAGAGAAAAAAAAACTTTATAAAACTGGGTTGCTTAAATGTGCGTGGATGTAGTGCGGATGACAAGAAACAGATGATTGCTGATGTTATGAATGAAAAGAAGTTGGATGTCCTGGCCCTAAGCGAAACAAAGCTGAAGGGGGTAGGAGAGTTTCAGTGGGGGGAAATAAATGGATTAAATCTGGAGTATCTGAGAGAGTTAAGCAAAGGAAGGGTAGCAGTAATGTTAAATGATCAGTTAGGGAAGGAGAAAAGAGAATATGAATGTGTAAATTCAAGAATTATGTGGATTAAAGTAAAGGTTGGATGCGGAAGTGGGTTCATAATAAGCGTGTATGCCCCTGGAGAAGAGAGGAATGCAGAGGAGAGAGAGAGATTTTGGGAGTTGTTAAGTGAATGTATAGGAGCCTTTGAACCAAGTGAGAGAGTAATTTTTGGTGGGGGACTTGAATGCTAAAGTAGGAAGAAACTTTTAGAGAGGGTGTGGTGGGTAAGTTTGGGGTGCCAGGTGTAAATGATAATGGGAGCCCTTTGATTGAACTTTTATAGAAAGGGGTTTAGTTATAGTAATACATATTTTAAGAAAAAGGGGATAAATAAGTATACACGTATGATGTAGGGCGAAATGACAGTAGTTTGTTGGATTAGTATTGGTAGATAAAAGACTGTTGAGTAGACTTCGGGATGTACATGTTTATAGAGGGGCCACAGATATATCAGATCACTTTCTAGTTGTAGCTACACTGAGAGTAAAAGGTAGAGGGGGATACAAGGAGAATAGAAGCATCAGGGAAGAGAGAGGTGAAGGTTTATAAACTAAAAGGGGAAAGGCAGTTAGGGTAAGATATAAACAGCTATTGGAGGAATAGATGGCTAATGAGAGCTAGGCAATGGGGTCGAGAGGTATGGGGTAGGTTTAAAAAAAGTAGTGTTAGAGTGTTCAGCAGAAGTTTGTGGTTACAGGAAGTGGGTGCAGGAGGGAAGAGGAGCGATTGGTGGAATGATGAGTAAAGAGAGTAGTAAGGGAGAAAAAGTTGCATATGAGAAGTTTTTACAAAGTAGAAGTGATGCAAGGAGGGAAGAGTATATGGAAAAAAGAGAGAAGTTAAGAGAGTGGTGAAGCAATGTAAAAAGAGAGCATGAGAGAGTGGGTGAGATGTTATCAACAAATTTTGTTGAAAATAAGAAAAGTTTGGAGTGAGATTAACAAGTTAAGAAAGCCTAGAGAACAAATGGATTTGTCAGTTAAAAATAGGAGAGGAGAGTTATTAAATGGAGAGTTAGAGGTATTGGGAAGATTGAAGGAATATTTTGAGGAATTGTTAAATGTTGATGAAGATAGGGAAGCTGTGATTTCGTGTATAGGGCAAGGAGGAATAACATCTTGTAGGAGTGAGGAAGAGCCAGTTGTGAGTGTGGGGGAAGTTCGTGAGGCAGTAGGTAAAATGAAAGGGGGTAAGGCAGCCGGGGTTGATGGGATAAAGATAAATGTAAAAGCAGGGGGGATATAGTTTTGGTGGTTTGGGGCAATTTTTTAATAAATTATGGAAGAGGGTAAGGGGACCTAGGGGTTGGCAGAGAGCAGCATATTTTCCTTTTTTAAAGGGAAAGGGGATAAAAGAGAGTGCAAAAATTTTAGGGGATAAGTCTGTTGGTTCCTGGAAATGTAGGGTTAAGTTATTTTTTGAAAAATTTTAAAGAAAAGAGGAGAATAGGAAACTTGAACAAGAGGCTTTAGGAAAGGGGGGGGTGTTGACCAGGTTTTTACAGTGAAACATATAAGTGAACATATTTAGATAAAGGTAAAGAGGTCTTTGTGTTTAGGTTTGGATAAGGCAGCATGGAAGGGGATGTGGAGATGTGAAAAGGGTTTTAATATTGAGGGTGTTGGAGGAGCAAAGAATTTTAGAGGGTTAAGGAAAGGAAGCGGATTGAGGGAAATTAAAAAACCCCTTTGAAGGAGGGGTGTTAAGGGTTGTTTAAAATTTATGAAGGGGTTTAGAAGAAGTGAGGGTGAAGAGGGTGAAGTTAAAAGGGCCACCCCGGGGGAATTGCCGTGCAAAACATTTTTTTTTTTAAATGCTAGTTTTTTAATTTTTATTGTAGGGGGAAGAAAAAATTTTTTAAGAAAATGGTTTGAATTTAAAAAAATTGTGATAAATTAATAATTCAGAAAGAGTTAATAGGGTTATGAAATTATGAAATTTAAAGAAAGGTGGATTTTTCCAGTTAAAAAGGGGGAAATGTCATAGAATTGTGGGGGAAAAAGGTATGGCACAAATTCTGGAGACAAAAAATTTTTTCCGAGAAAAATTTAAGTAATATAGATTTTAAACCAAAAGGGTTGAAGGGGGAAATGATATAAGAGAATTCTGACCCAAGTTGGTCATTGAGGAGTTAGTTTTGATTATAATCAAAAAAAATTCTTTTGGTTTAAAGGGGAGTCGGGATAAAAACTTTGCGAGGTGAAAAGTTTTGTTTAATTTTTGGGAAGCTTGTGGAGTTTACCGTAAATTTTCAATTAACTAATTTTTAAAATTGGGTGTAGAAGGGTGGAATTTTTTAAAATTTTTGGTTGAAGAAAATTGTAAAAAATTTATGTTTGTAATTAAATAAAGCAAATGTTTTATACCCCGTGTGTTGGTTTGAGGCAATATTTTAAGGTCGGGGAAACATAACTTAGTGAATAATTCATTGCCTATTAAATTTAATTTAGTTTAAAATTGTGGGGTTAAAGTTGCAAAAATAATTTGAATTGGATGAAATTTGAAAGGTTGTGAATGGGGTGGATTTTTAAAAAAAAAAAATTTAAAAAATTTAGAATTATCAAAAATGAAAGAGTATGGAAATACTATTTTTTGTTTTAATTTTATTTAGTGTTAAAGTGAAGAGATAATGTTTGTACCAATCATGCCCATCTGAATCGTAGCTAAATATCTGTAGGTTAGAGTATTTCTATTCTTGTTATTTTTCCCGAGGTACTTTTCATATTTGTTCTCATTAACATGTTCAGTAGAGTGGTGGGGCTGTCAAGTCTTGTACCCACTTTGAACCCTAGTAATCCATGAAAAAGTTTCAACTGTTCATTACAGCTCTTCTGTATGTAAATGGGTGCCCTTTATTTTATGCTGTAGATTTATTCCATGTCCATGGCAACTGTACTAAGCTCAGTCAAGCCATAAAAACTTGATTTGCATAAATCAGAATATTCATTGTGCTTCACAAACCAGTGATCTTGCATGGGTAATGTACATCCCATATACAGATTTACCAATAGAAACAGTACATTGTCTAATAATAAATTCACAAAGTGTACCCGCATCAATTGAGGGAAAACTATACCTCAACAACCTTCTCCAGCCATTGCAGGGTGACCCAAAGAAGAAAAAACATTAACCATCATTCATTCAATCACTGTCTTTCCTGAAATATGCTGACATCAAAATTCTGATTAGCCTCGTATTGCAACATGCCCACCCTTCCTTCAGAGTGCAGCCCTGCCCTTCCTACTTTCGAGACTCAGTCCAACTGACCAGTCTCTTCAAGTCCCTTCATAAAAGTTAACTCATAAACACTAACAGCACATCCAATAAAACCCATTTGTCTCCAGTGACTCCTATCCAACAAGCTCCCACAAGCCTGCTGGATACTCAGGCCCCTAAAACTCAAAGCCCCTACCCCTCCTATATTTCACCCCAGATTTATACACCCTCTGTCATACTATCATTCTCCTTCCTCTCTAAATGGCTAAACCACCTCAACAGCTCCTCCTCAGCTCTCTAATTAGTACCTGTGGTAACCCCCACATAATCTCTTAATTTCTATACTCCAAACCCTCTGCATAATGTTCACACCATACAGTGATATCAAACCATGACATCTCCACTGGCTCTAGCCTCCTCCTCACTGCAACATTCAAAACTCATGCCTCACACCTATACAAAAGTGTTGGTACAGTTGAGAATCCTTTTGTCTGAAATGCATGGGACTGGAAGTATTCCAGATTTCAGATTTTTTCGGTTTTTGGAATATTTGTATATTTGCATCTATAAATTGGGACAGCTTGGGGATGAGACCCATGTCTAAACACAGTACTGTACAAAAAAATCACTGCTTACGAAAAGGAAGATACCATATTTTATGGCGTCGAAGATGCTATTTTTTCCCCAAAATAAGTCTAGAAAATTTATCCAGCCTCTTGGAGGCCTCATCCTAAGCCTAGAGAAGTTTTTCGATACTAGACAGTAATCTAAGCTCCTATATATGACCCAATAATGAATCATGTAAACTATTTTGTATAAAATGATGAATAAATAAAAAATAATAATTATAAAAATCTGTTGGCACTTCGTAGCAGTAGGCTATAGTAAACCAGGAAATAGAGTCGGCTGGACTACAGGTAGTATCAGTAGGCTAATTC